CCACTAGTCCATCCTTCAGTCAATAGCTTTGGATCACATGATTGACACCATGAATAATTAGTATTATATCTATTGCAGGTTGAACATTCTCCATATTCTTTATAATCATTAAAACTACTATTTTCCATGTATTCCATTACAATGATATATTCTTTTGTAGCTGGATCTTGTGCTAGTTCATAAATTTCATTTATAAATGGGGCATACTGCAACAAAACCAGACAAAGTGAACATTGGTATTACCAACAATTTCAGAGATCAATAGTGTTTATTTAACATCACAATTGTACAATGTAATGTGATCATGATATTTGTCTAGACAAAAATAGTTAATATGAAAATAATTTACATTAGGTCTACCATGGAACCCAAAAATTACAGCATTATTAAAAGTATTTCAAAAAAAGAACAAGGAGAAGAGATTACACCCTATGTTTTCAAAATAAATGATACTCAACACTTGAATTAGGGTTTTTACAATTGTTCTGATTTATTTTTATTTTATTTTATTTTTTGATATTATGTTTTAATTCAATAATAAAAGCAGCTATTATAATCTAGATTTTTTTTTTCAATTTTAATGATGATGATGATGACCAATCATTCATATCATCTAAAAAATAATCAGTACTGTAAAGTCTGGAAAGATAGCACCCCCTACTTTAAAACAATTGAGCATCAATATAAAAAAAATGTTACACATATGTAAAAAGGGGATGCTATCTTTCCAGACTTTACAGTAATCTTTTTTAAAAGATTTTGATATTTTTTGTGAATTTCTAGAATGTATGACTGCAAAGAATAAAGATCAGCTATTAATAAAAATAGATATTTGGAAATAGATACTATAAAATGATAAATAATTACTTGTAAGGCCAACATACTTGTAGCAGATTTTGTGAGCAATGGTAGTGACACCACTTCTTCTGGAAAATCTAATTCAATGACTGAAAAATTATTGGTCTTAAATTAATTGGCCAATTTGCAACATACACATCTGCAGTTGTTCCTATAAATGCTAAATAAAGTTTACTAAGAATCTTGCATCAATAATGACAATAAAACAGTTAAATTTACACACCACAAAACTGAATAAATAAAATTGGCAATTGAGATATTTCATTGATCATTTCTTCTGGTAACATTTCTACAATAAACTTAAACATAAGAACAACTGCCTCATGTAACTTCGAAAGATCCTTGTTTTTCTTTCCCAAATTGGATGTAGTTGCTGTTTCAATGTAGATAAATTCAATTTTACGATTAAATGAAAACACACCATTAGAGTTTTTATTCATGAATATCATGAATATCATTAAGGGGTTACACACTATTAAAACAGCAAAAAATCCCTTAAAAACATGAGTTGATCACTTGATTTTAATAGTGTGTGACCCTGTGTGACCCCCTTATGATATTCATGAATACACACCATCATATTTTGATTTTTTCTTTGTGCTCTGCTGGATACTTCACCACTATTATGTGAAAATAATTAACAAAAAAAAAATTTTTTTTTAACTAAAGCATAATAAAAAAAAATAGCATTATGAAAATATACCGTCTTAAAACATAATCTTTTAATGATGAAATACAGTCATCAAAAAATGGTGCAATAATGTTATTATTATACCATCCTTCTTGCAATTCACAACTGCCTAAATTTAGCATGCCATTATCCCGGAAAAGAAGGTAACTGCACATGAAGTAAGTAAAATGAATATTAAAGAAACAATATATTATACAAATATATAGATATATGTATGTATTTAATATTTACAATTTTTCAAATAACTGTCAAAGGTAAATTATGTCTCTATCAGGACTTTTATAATTAATATTAATAGTTGAGTGAGCTTCTTCAAATTCTGATAAAGTTGTCTAATGATGTTTAGAAGTTTAATTATAATTAAAGAATTTGTTTATTTAACCATTCTTTTAATTAAATACTTACTACATTTAGTCTTTTTAAAACTTCAATGGCTTTTGGTGACACAAGTTTTAATGGTTTTTGGGATTTTACTTCATCTTCAAAATAGATTTTTACCTGTCCTCCAAATTCTTCTAAAATGTATTCATTGTTCAAATCAATAATTCCACATCTTAATGAAGGTGATAATTTGATTCTTCTTGGCTCATCTTTTTCATAAATATTTATAATTTTTTCTTCAATATCAATTCCGAATATAATTTTATTAAATTTCCATGGAGCCCAGTCCATAACTATGTATAGTGCAAGACACCTAATCCCGCAACTTTCTGCGCCACAACGACAGATTTGGGAAAAAATTCCCAATCAAAAACACAATAAAATTTTCGTGGTCACGTGATTTTCAGTAAGTAATTGAATGAAGGATCCAATCTACTAATAATTATCCCTTAAACGAACAGAAATTGCGTCCAAATCTGGACGCAATTTTCAAAAAATTGTAGACCCCCACTAGACAA